CAAATAATGATCTCCCTTTTTAAACAACTTGTTTTCTAGAGAACCTTCTCATTTAGTGCTAGCTAGACTTGTTTTAAATCTTCTTCAATCTCTAGAGTATCAAACTGCAGAGATAATGTCCCAACATGTGATTGAACATCAGTTCCTTTCATTGAACACATTACTGAATCTGGACCTGAACCTATCACCAACAGTACTTTTCTCAATAGAGTAACTTAGAAACATACATTGTTCTCATAAAAAGAGTAGGTAAGACCCTTTGAAGATATCAAAAACAATATAATTTCCTCTTGCAATAGAAAATAATACACATAAGTTTCTATCCATCATGATACTCATCTTGTATTGAACAAATCAGATCCATAAAATAGGTTCTTTGAGCTTTTGCAATTGTCTGATATTGCATCTTTTAGTCTAAAATCTTGACTTCTTCTTTCTTTGAACACCAACTAAGAGAATAAACAATTAAATACTTGTGAATTTCAAAAATAGCAATAGTTCATAAATCCTCAGAGGGACTTCAAACATCTCATTAGAGACATAACATTCTTCTTTGATGACACAACTAAATTAGTCGTTAAGTAAAACCAATTGCCAAGAACTTAGAGAATCCATCCTGAATTCTGTAGTTCTCCAATGTCCTTAAAATTCCTCTTTAGCATCATCCACAAAGTAACATTTGATTAGAATAAGGCTTAAACAAACCACCAGGAGCACTTTTACTACAGTTAAATGTCTGGAACAATTAGTGTCAAGATACCAATCATCTTATCAATGCTTTGACATTGATAGATCTTTTACTCTGGTTCCATCATTCTTTTTAACATCACATACATGTTAAAGTCAGTACAAATGTCTTTGATATTTAGTAAAGACATCCTGTCCAATCTCCTCAACTCTTGATTGAATCACTTTCCAAGGAACATAATAGCAAAAAGAAACCTTTTATTAGAAAACAGAACCTAAGCTAATTCAGAGTTGAAAGCAAAAATAAATTACTCTTGTCTTTCTTCAATAGCTTGTCACTTTCGTGTCAAACCTCTAGAGTAGAGACTTGAGAAATTTCTTCTTGATCAACTTCACATCTGAAATTTTCCTTCCAAACACACTTAGATGTGCCTTTATGAGTGAACTTGAGAAATTCCCAAGTATCGTTGGCCCCAATTCAAGTGGTGTACAACCTGAAATAAAACACTTATCAATTCCATGATAATGACATTGATAACTGATCTTTTATTTTCTTCCAAGCACCAGGAATCTTCTAACCTAATAAACTTCACAGTTCTACTGTCCATTGATAACCAAAATGGTATCACTCCAGCTTTCCATAAGACAAATAGTACCAGAAATATACCTCCCTGAATCTCACCCAATAGAATAGGGCGTCTGCTCTGATACCAATTGAAATTCAGGTATATGCAACACATACAAACAAAATTGTCTTAACAACAGATGATGTCGAGACAGTTATTACAACATCTGGTAATAAACCAGATCAATCAAGCTGAATATGATACACAAAATAAAACTATGGAATGATAAATAACACAATAAGTTGTTAACCCAGTTCAGTGCAACATCACCTACTCTGGGGGCTACCATGCTAGGAAGGAAGTCCACTATCAGTAATATTAGTTCAAACTAAAATCCTTCATTTACAACTTCTCGCCTAATCCCTACCCAATGCAACTTCTACCTAGGTCCTCCCTAAATATGAGAAATTACCACCTCACATCCTAAATCACCTTAGTGATATCTAACAGTCACAATCCCAATAACCTCAGTGATATGGCCAAGTCGATAATGCCATATCCAATCATCTCTTCTAGCTGCAGCTATTAGGCATTTATGCTCCATTGTATACAGTTCAATCTTGAAAGTCCTATTTTTATACATAGGAGCCTTCAAGATTAACCTTCCTCTTGCGTTGACGACTCTCACCATCTTGTCTTTGATCAACACTTTATAATTCTTTTCGATCAACTGCCCTATGCTGAAAAAATTGCTCTTCATGCCTGGTATCTACAACAGATTGGAAATTACTGACCTCTTTCCATCTTTCCTTATTATCAGAACATCTCCAATACCTTTAGCTGCTAGAGTATTGTCATTTGCGAATTTCACCATGCTCTTCATTGGGGGTTTTATGTTGACAAACCAATCTTTTCTTCCAGACATGTGTAATGAGCATCCTAAATCCAAGTACTATTGGTCCTATAATTTCTCTTCATCTCTTGTTGTGACCATCAACATCTTCTCTTCTTCTTCATACTTTATGAACTTATCATCATTTTCTTGATTCTTTCGCTTTTCAGGGTAACCACTAGAATAATGACCATACTTTTGACAATTGTAACACTGAATGTGACTCTTGTCAGGTTTTTGACCACCACCTCTTACTCTATTAGCAACACAACCTCTTTGGTGGCTTTGGTATGGTCTTATCTGATTTGACACATTTTCTTTGTACTGGTTTCCTCTACCAGACGAATTTTTGTAGCCTCTTCTACCTTTATTGTCGAACCAATTTCCTTTTCCTTTCTTGTCTCTTATGTACTGCGCCTGCAAAGCCATATCACTCTTCGACTTTCCCGCAGCTCTTTCAGCCATTCTTTGTTCATGAGATTCAAGCGTCCCTTGAAGCTCTTACTTCGACAAAGTTGACATGTTCTATGACTCTTCTATGGCAACTACCACATGGTCAAACTCCGGAGTCAAAGATCTCAAGATTTTTGAAACAACTGCTCTTGTTGTTAGTGTCTCTCCATAAACCTTGATTTGATTCACTAGTTTCGTAGCCCTAGTGAAGAAATCAGATATGCTCTCGCTATCTTCCATTTGAAGCAATTCATATGTTCTTTTGTGAGTTTGTAACCTCACCTCTTTCACCTTCTCAGCGCCTCCAAACGATTTCTTCATAACTTCCCAAACTTCTTTTACAGGTTCTATATCACTAACCTTTTCAAAAAATTTTGGACTCAAACAGCTTTATAATTCTTCTTCTTTGATTTTCTGTATTCTGCCTTTTCTTCTTCTGAAGCATCTTCTTCAAGCGGTTCTAATCCATGTTTCACTAGATCTCAAAAATCTTGACAACAAAACACAATCTTCATCTGCTTTCCCCAATTCTTATAGTTATCAGCTTTAGGAATTGGAAGACTTGCTAGAAAATGCCCGTTCGAATGATTCATTGTCGTCATTCTTGCTTGCCATGAATCGCTCAACCGGAGCTCTTGATACCAGATATTGGAAATCCATAAAACCTATGATGAATTTCTACCAATCTTGTGAACAAGATTGTTATCACCACACAATGACAATGAAAAGAAAATAAAATTAAAGAAGAAAAGAGATTTAGGGTTTCTACAGAGTAACTCTCTGCTCACAAACAGTGGAAAATCTTTATTCACTTTGCAACTACAAAATTCTGTGAATACAAGTTGTTATGAATTGCTTACAAAAATAGGGGTTACTCCCACTATATATAGTTTTAGGTTTCTCCCTAAGCCAAAAAGGCTCAAAACTATAATAGCCCAAAATACCTATTTTGGATTTAAATCGAAATCTGTGTGTAGCAACCTGCTGACAAGACTTCGACAACTTCCTACAACTCGACAAACTAAACTTTTTGACACACCTTGTGTCGAGCAATAACCTTCTTCGACACAAGGAATTACACTTTCAAAAGCAAAAGTAAGTATAGTAATTGTGCTTTTTGACATTATATTATTTGTGTGTATTAGTGTGACATTAATAAATGAAAATTACTTTTAGTGGCGAAAACAAACCGGCGCCCATTCTTGTGGATATTATGTTATGAGATATATGCTCCATATTGTCTCCGGAGGTATTACACATGGATGGATGAAGAAGAAGGTATTAGCTTAATCCATATATATATATATATATATATATATATATATATATATATATATATATATATATATATATATATATATATATATATATATATATATATATATATATATATATATATATATATATATATATATATATATATATATATATATATATATATATATATATATATATATATATATATATATCTTAAACTAATGTTGTTTTTTTAACTTATCGGAATTTAAATTTTGTTCTAATTGTAGGAGCTTAGCATCCAAAAAAGTATACTCAATAGAAGATATTGATGACATCCGATCACGTTGGGTCATTGTCTTATCATCTCATTATGAAGCTCGACAACCACAACAACAATTTTTCTTGGTTGCTATAATCTTATTTTGTATATGAAGAGAGGTTTTCTCATTTTGATATGCAGATATTATCATGTCAAACGAGTGTATTCTGTCTTGATGATAAAAATGTAAATTTACACATTTGATTTAAAATGATATGATATATTTCTATTCAGTTACATATTTTGTAGTTTATGTGTAAAAAATGGTACTGACAGGTTAATATATTTATCATAATGATATGATACATGTCAGCGAAAATGATACAGACCCGTGAAATTGATAAATATAATAAAAAAACTTCATTTTAAACTTCTAGGTTATTACATAAAAACGAGGTAAATGAATACCTTATTACCTCGAATTATAAATAAAACTGACAACTATACGACGCACACAACAATATGTAGAAAATAAAAATATATATTTCCTAGGAATTGAACTCATGACCTTTTCAATTATAACATCGATGTTTAAAACACCGAGATGTTAAGTAAAAGTTTTTTATGACGACCTTATTTATTTATTTCGATTGAGTAAGTGATATAAAACGCTTTTCTCATTTAATATTACTAGCATTATAGTCACTTAAATCAATTTCAACTCATATAGCAATCAAATTAAATTATATAATATTTTCATTTATCTTTAAGTCAACACATCAAAAAAAAAATTTCTATATACAATCTGTTGATTGGAGAATTTTTTATTCTGTTAAACAAAGTTATTATCAAATGTGTTACAAATGACATACTCCAAAATAAGATGCAATTTCATCTAAAAGTCCTAGCAATTCCAGCTGAACCCATTCAAATCAAATTTTTGGCAGTGAGAAGAAGCATCATTGTTATCATGAGAATTCAAGTCTAATTTCACTTCAAAGTTAGCTAGCCTATAATCTTGAGAAATTTTTTCACTATTAAGTTTAAGTTGCATTCCACTAGTTTCACTACTTTTTCTTCTCTTCCATTCTTCACCCTTTAAATTTTCCTTTGAAATCGTTCTCTTAAAAAACAATTCTTCTTCATGAACTCTTCCTATATTCATAGATAAGAGGCTAGAGCTATTTTCTAATACTCCATTCGATCCTATTTATAAGAAACAAAAAATTAAATCAGACAGATAAAAGAAACGTTTTTAATAATTAATACACTAAAAATATACTATATTTCATATATATATATAGGGTTATGTAAAAGTCGACTTTATCGATGAGTCGATGGTAGACAATTAGATTAAGAGATTGAAATTTTTTTCACTCTTAATCCAACTGTTTATTGTCGACTGCACCATAAAATCGATCATAAATGATGTAATTTTGTTTTAAATAGGATTAGATGGAGTAAAACATTATACCTTTTAGTACTTTATCATTTGATGAGGAAAGAAACATCATATTCTCCTTCACTTCATCACAAAATGTGCCATTATATGGTCTCGAAATGATGCCTTTGTTATGCATTTCTTGGTCTCTTTGAGAATCCTCACTATTGGTTAAGAAACTTCCCATTGAATAACCAATGGCTTCAACTTCTTGTGTTTGTTGAGGCCAAATCATATTCAATTCTTTTATTTCTGAAAATTTAGAATCAAGACTCTCAGTCGATACTCTTGATGCTAACTCAGATAGTTGAACTTTTGCAGCATCAAGTCCCATTGTACCTAAGTTTTGTTTTCCTAATGTCTCCTTAGCTTTTTCAAGCACTGAATGAAGGTACTTTCCTTGAGCCTCTATACGTAATTGTAAGTGTCGTTGTACCTTCATAAAGACGGGTTAAGACACATTTAGATATGTTTTTTAAACCCTAAATCCTGAACCCTAAAATTTGAAAATGTTTATACCTCAAGTTGCTCATGTAGTCTTCTTTGCACTTCAATTTGCATATTTAATGCTTCATTTATATCTGAATTTCTGGATTTAGCAATCATACTTGTTAGATTAAACAATCTTGTTTTGAATTTTGAACAATAGAAACTCAATGCATGTGTTCTTATATTCTTACTTGTTTGTTTGGAGTCCTATGCTTAAATCTTTCATATGAATTCCACTTGGTTCTAACATTCTTCTTTCCACCTCACTGGTTGGTGTTGCTGCTAAGGTAAATTCATTTCCAATTTTCAAATTATGTTCATAATATTCTTATTATGAAAGACATTGAAAACATATTAAATAAATGTTTCCTTACCAATTTTACTAGTGTGACCATTTGTACTTCTACTGATCCTATACTTCTGCATCAAGAAAAGATAAATCATTATAAATAACTAAACTCTTTGAAATGATAAGAAAGTAGTGATATATTTTTACCTGTAGGTGACTCTTTAAATGGTATAATGTAAGTCCAGGAATTCCCATAAGTTTCAATACTGTTTTTGGTGTAGCTTCTGCAAGAATATAATAATCAACTTACCTTAAAAAGTCGCATTTTTCATATACATAATTCGATTTAATTGATATGCACTAACAGGGTAACAGAAAAAAAAATATATAAATTTTTTTACGCTCTCAGTGCATCAAAACGGACTTACTATCTGCTCCTCCAAGTTGAGTGACGGCTTCGATGAAACGTTGGTGAAGATCAGGTGTCCATTTTAGTCTTGGCTTAGCATCAGTTGAGAGAACAAGTCCTGAATCTATACTTCCATTTCCTCTTTCTTGCATTTGCATCCTTAAAGCATGCATGTTCCTTACTTCTTCATGTTGATGGTAGTACATATTTTCTTCAATGGAAAGAGTTTTTTTAGAGCACTTTCTTTAGAGTTTCAACTCAAACTAATGAAGCTTCTTCAATAATTTGCAAGCCTTGATTGTATTCTCAAAGATCTCTTAATTCATATATAGATAGGTAGTTAAAAAAGATATGTCATTCTTCCACTTTTTTTATTATAAGAGCAAAGAACTTATCCAATAGAATTGTGCTTCCTTAGAAGCCTTACACGTTGCATTTAGAATCAAATTTATTTGACCTATGAACACTTTGTGCCTGCATATGTTTTTGTTCCATGACACCTTATTCCAAAAGTTAAGAGAAGAATTCAAAGTGACATGAATTATAGAATAAACTTTTCTTTTTCTTGAAAGCATCAGAAACCACACTTCACTTTTCACATGTTTGTCAAAAAAGATTCTTGGCTTGGAATTCTATCAATTAGTCCTTGTCACTCACATAGGTAATTGGGCCAATTTGGAATATAAATTTTACTTTATATGGAAGCATTATGCAATATAATTTCACTATTTAAAGTTGGAGAATTTTGGCTTAATAAGGGATTAAGACTAAAATAATTAAACAAAATTTAATTTATTTCTCATAAGTGAAGAAATATTAACTATATTGAGTGAAGAAAAAGATGATGGATAAAATATTATACACTTTTTTATAGATATTGATTGGTGAGGGAGGCACAAAAATAAATTTATGTATCAATGTCAATGTGAAATGGATTATATTCCTCTTGTTTTAGAGGAATACATTTTTATTTTATTAAAGCATCTAAAAATAGAAATATTCTACTGCAAATACAATGAAGAAAAATAATAAAAATAGAGAGGTGATGTTCACTCCTTGAAATTTCTTTTTAAAGAAAGAAACAGAATAAGAACACATTCCATTTTGTCTTGTTTGATAAGTTTGATGCATATGTGGCCAACAAAGAATAAAAAACAAAATAAAGGACTTAGAAGTATTCAAGATGCTGGCTTTCCCTTGACGAATCCTAAGCAGCTAGAACCATATGACAAGAAAAGTATCAATGAGTGTATTTTTGATCTTCTATGTCTTAAATATTGTTGTGTGTTAGAGGTGTTATTACATTGATGTGTTATTAGATATGAATAGAGTTATTTTATTGGCAGATGTAAGTAAGATGTCATAAAAGTTGTTGGGATATTTTTGTCATATTATCCACCAATGCACTATCTTTAGAAAGGTTTTAGTTGATATCAAATTTTGTGTTCTAGTTATTGCATACTTAATTTTAAAAAGATTTATTTCGTTTTGAATTTGCATGATTTTTTTAAAACAGATTTCGTTTTAAAGGATTTAATTTGTTAATGAATTTGTATGATTTGTTTTTGGAAAGATTTAATTGTGTTGTAGTGATTTCTACCTACTATTTTATGTGCTTTCGTCATTGCAGTTCTTGAAATATTATGACTTTTATCATCTATTGGATGAGTGTAGCCGTCAACTACCAAGTCCCATAAATCCAAGTCATATGCTAGAATTTAACTTTCTATTCTATCCTTCCAATAGTCAAATTTCTCTCCATCAAACCTACGAGGTTTTGAATTATAGTGATCTCTATCATTATCCATATTATCAACAGTAGAAATAGATGTAGCCATTGGTTTATCACACACACTGGATCGGTACTGGACACTGTTAAGTGTTGATAAAAATTCAAACTTTTTATCTCCTCAGAACTGGAGCTTTGATGTCAATTGAAGGTGTGAAAAACACAAAAAATGGGGAGTTTGAATTGGGTTTTTAAAACAAAAACTGTTCTTTAAAAATACTCCCCTTTAAGTTAAAATCCATTTTCCTTCACTTTTGATAATAACAATAAGTAAGAACAGGAAGTAAAGAATAATGTATGTTTATACTAGATCACTTGAAAATTATCAAACTAGTCTAGTCCATCCGCCAAGGTGATTTCGCCTCACTCAATCGAAGACTTAATTCACTATAACCAAACTGATTACAATTTGCACAAGCTACCCGCAAGTGACTAACAACCTCTAAGACTCGCAAGTCAAAGACTTCTTAAGGATACAAACCTACCCGATCCCTTAAGGAATATCAAACAACAATCAACCTGATTATTACAATGCACAAGCTACTCGCAAGTGACTAACAACCTTCAAAACTCGCAAGTCCTAGACTTCTTAAGAATACAGGCCTACTCGGTCCCTTAAGGAACATTAAACAACTATTTGAATACAAGTTCTGTTTACAAGAATATTGCTTCTAATAAGTTGAATATGTAAACTATTTTAAGATTAATGACTTAAGAATGTGAAAGCTATGAACATCGTTTGCGCGCAAATATTTCGTTGATTGGAAGCTTTCTCTCTTAGTCTTTAAACCTTTATATAGCTAATAAAATAATGTATCCATTGAGTGGTACTCTTGGTATTTCCATAAACATCGGCAGCTTGAACAATAATGTGAAGGACAAGATCGTGCAACGCGTTCGTCCTTTCATGATAGTGGAATGAAATATTGATTGTACCATGTACTATATGTACCACGTTAACATTATCTTCTTTCCTTCTGCACTTCAGAGGCTTCTGTGAGCATGAGTTTTGAAGCAAGAATATAACACAAGGTCATCAGTACTTTAAGTCTTCAGAATTATGTCTTTAGAGTCATCAACACTTGGTTGTGAGAACCTTTTCTTGGAGCCTTGAGTCTTTAGAACGCCAAGTCTTTAAAATCTTTAGAAATGGTCTTCAGAGTCTTCAACACTTGGTATTTAGAACCCTTATCTTTTGAACCTTGGGTCTTTAGAAACTTGAGTCTTTAGCATGTGGACTTGAGTAGAAACTTCTGTCTTTAGATCTTCTAATGGTTTCTTTAGAACATGTTGTCTTTATAAACACGAGTCTTCAGCATCTGGACTTAAGTAGAAACTTCTATCTTCATATCTTCTAACTGATTTCTTTAGACAAATATCAGAGCTTATAGTTCAGAGCCTTCTAGAGTGTCTTGATACTTTTCACCAGAACTTGTGTAGCACATAAGTGGAACTTATTCTCTTCTAATATCTTGGCCACGCCATCCATTAGAAGCAGAACCCGTTTGTTAAGTACTCAACAATAACAAACATTAGATTATCAAAATTGTTCATTCAAACATACTCATTTATTATCACCAAAAATTAGAGATAATATTGCAGAACTAAATCTTATTCTAACAGCCTATAGTCGACAATGATGACCAGTGAGCTAAAAAGTCTGGCTCGAATTTCAGCTTATGTCGATGAAAACACAATGAATTCGGCTTTAGAAGCTGAAGGACTGTAGGGTACAACTATCGAAGCCATACTAGTTGTTGCACCCCAAAATTTGCCATCTCATTTATCAAGGAATCACCCTGGATTCTCAAATTTTCTCTCATCAAGTCTCCAGGCCTTGAATTATCAATTTTTCCAAGCAAACCATTCACAAGGGAAAAATGGTCATTTACACCTAAGAAGTATGACTTTGACTTTTGGATCAAAATCAAATCTCAAAAATCATATTTCATCCAGATATGTTGGAATATGAAGTTTGCTTCATCAAGAGTTTCAAAAGTCAAATTTTATTTTAGAAGAATCAAATTCTAAAAACTTAGAAATTTTTCTAAGTATTTAAGAAATATGACAATTTCAGAACTTCTGAGCCAGTGTTCACACTCAGCAGATTCTGGATATTCTCAAGACAAAGTGTGGTCAGAACTTTTGGGCCAATATCCACGAAGGTTCAGTCAGAGTTTGCAAAGGTTTAAATCAAAGAAGGTAACAAAGCATGCAGTAAGTATACTAGAAGTTCTGAAGGATCCCTTAGAACATGCTGAAGTCAGAAGATAAGAGGATCAGAAGATGAGATGCTACGCTGAAGCATAACTTCTAATCCAGAGTCAAGCAAGGATCCAGAGTTTCACATGGGAACCCATTTAATGCTCACAACCACCTCTGAGCCTTTATCCAAGGGATTCATACCACGTGTACCCCTCCTGCCTTGGGAAGACAAATTTCTATGCAAAAGTATGCTAGACCCACGTGCTGTCTCTACTTTTCATTAATTCACGCTGCCAGATCCAGCTGAGGCGCTGTTCACTATGCAACTTGAATACGTTGAGCCCCACTTGTTTAAGCTTACTTCAAGAGTAAGTCAGCATCTAGCACATGTTGTTGGCACCACTTGACCACCCCAACTGCAAAACTTTGCCTATAAATAAAACACCATTTGCACACTGAAAAGGCCCAGAAAATTTGTAAGAGCTAGAGAGAAAAATTTGTGAAAGAGGCAAGAGAGTTGAGAAAGAAGGCTTTGAATGACTGCAAAATTCCAAGAACCCAGGAACTATAAACACAAGAATACCAAAAATCTTAGCATTAATTCCTTACATTCAAACTCCATTTCTCACTCAATTGTTCTTGACTAAAGCCATCCATGTAGCTGCTGATTCATGCATCAGAAGTTACCTTAACTTCTGTATTCCTATTGTCATTTAAACTCCACTAATTTCCACCTCCAAGGAGTCAGAATGTCACCCTTTGGCTGTTCCAGAAATTATAAATTCCTATCCTGCTGAGCACGTGAAGGAGTTACTCAGAATATCACCAGAATTCAAGAACAATCTCCAGTTCACAGAATCATTTCCAGCTGCAAGGTAAGTTTTTTGCTGACCCTCATTGTAACTGATTAAGCATTGTCAGATTTTGCATATTTAGCACAATGTAGATATTCTGATCCTGATGATGTACATATTCTGAAAACTCCTACGTTTGCTTGCCTAAGTAAAAGAAATTCCAGTTTAGAGTTTCAAAAAGAAATTAGAACTCAGAATTAGAATTAGCCAATACACGTTGCTTCTGATTCCTGCTTCTGATATTTCATGAAATTTGTCATAACTATTATGCATGCAACTTCTGTTCTGTAAATGACTAAGCTGCAGATGTTCTGACAGTCATGGAGAGAGGCAAAGTTATGACAGTTGCGTTAGAACT